TGCATGGTTGGTAATTGTCAATTGAAGTTGTTTTGTGCACCTAGTTTTCTTATTGTATAGCTAATATGGAAGAGAAGATATAAGGAAGTTAGTAGGAGAGAGGACAGTGCAGTAACTACTTTGATGGCACATAAATGGGGCTAGTTGTCACATGTAAAAATCAAATGTCAGTGTGTTTTCAAGTTCTTCTAGTAGATGTAATTTTTTTTTTCTTACTTTGCCATTTACAATGAAGAAAAGGAAAGGAAGAATTTGCTTGTTATATATTTTTCAAGTGTATCCCCGTTAATCACTACAGGGCCCAAGTGTTTGGTTGTTTGATTATTTGAAATTTCTCTCTAACTGCGACTGGGTGAACTAGCTCTAGGTCCTAAAATTTCTGTATTAATATACTAGGATTTCATTCTGTAGTTTAAATAGGCAGCTTAGTTTGTTTTTATGTGATATGGTGCCTTGTTGTGCTTCCTTGTTAATCCTTTCTGAAAATATCTTATATTATAGCACAACTCTCTACTTGTAATCCAATTGGCTCTTGATGTTGGTGCTAATTTTATCTCATTTAATAAAGTTTCATCCATTCATCAAAAGCTAAAATATTTGTGATTTTTGGACATGGTCATGGTTCAGTAATGATTTATCAGTTGGACTTGATAACAGGACTTCTAGTTTAAATACAAATTTTTTATGGCTAGTGCAACTCTTGTTCTTGTTATATTCCTAAGAGTTGAGTGCATATGAGGTCGCAGGGAATAATATTGTCTTGTGTCAGATTTAGACATGCCTAGTGTAACAGTACAATCCCCTTTGTGTTTGGGAGAGACTACGATCGTCAATTTTCCTTTCTTTATTGCTAGTAGTTTCTTTTTTTTTTTCCCCTCTTTTTCTCTATTTTTATTTTTTTATTTTTCGTGTGTGTGTGTGTGTCTGTTGGGTTCACTTTACCGTTGCTGTAGCATTTTTATATTATTTGTGCTTGAGTTAAGTCCTCAGGAGATATCTGTTTATAATCTTTGTCCTGATATACTTTTGTGTTTGCTTGACTCTTAGGCCGTGCCGTGTTAAGTTGCTTGGATGATATTGGCACTTCCGTCGAACAATGAGTTCCAGTATGTTAGCTGGGGAACGAAGGTATATTAATAAACCTTATTAAACTAACTTTTTTTAGTATGTTGAATGTGTAGCATCCTAAATTAGTAGAATATGATGTCCTAAGGATGCTCAAGTGCAATAGCATTAACAGTTAGTAGAATATGATGTTTCGAGACTTATAGCATAAAGTTGTATTTAATTACTAATTTTTATGGCCATGGAAGTTGATTATTGGTGGCTTCATCTTGTTGTATGGAGTGCATTCTCTCATTAAGACTGGACGAGAAACTTTTGGCAAAAGCTTCATGATAGAAAAATTTTCATGATTGTTTTCAGAAACAAGTGCAGAGTTGTCAACTTTGCACTTTTCATCTGCACTTTTTTTTTTTGTCCTTTCGTTTGTGTGGTTTGTTCCACCCGCCCCTAATGTACTTTTTCTTCTTTGATTTCTGTTACTGATTGTATTCTAATCCATTTTTCCTTAGATGGGCTTCTGCGAGAAGGGGTGGCATGACTGTTTTGGGGAAAGTTGCTGTTCCCAAACCCCTGAATTTGCCAAGTCAAAAGTACTAGTTTCCTGACATTCTCTTTCCATTTATATCTGGCTGTCATTTATTAATATTTGGTGTCCTTGAATGATAATAGGCTAACATGTTTTTGGATTTTGATTTTGGTTGAAGGTTGGAGAATCATGGTTTGGATCCCAATGTTGAAATTGTTCCCAAGTGAGTGGTGATTTCTGCTATATTGTGTTGTCAGCACCACACACCAGTATTATCTAAATTCTGAACCGTTTCCTTGAACCAAGTTCTTCGTTAGTAGCATTTGTCTGTTGACATATTCAGGCCCTGTAATATTGTGAAGTGGTTGGACCTTTGTTCTTGAACAGGGGTACTCTTAGCTGGGGAAGCCGCCCGTCTTCCTCAGGTTCAAATCCATGGATATCATCATCAGTATCACCAAATGCTGAAGGTGGTACTGTTTCCCCAAGTCACCTCAGTGGCCGCCCTTCATCGGGTGGAAGTGGGACTCGACCATCGACCGCTGGGAGTGAGAGAACACATGAAGCTGTTTCCAGTGCTTGGGGTTCAAATTCTAGACCCTCATCAGCCTCTGGAACATTATCCTCAAATCAGACATCGTCGACTTCATTGCGGCCCAAAAGTGCTGAAAACAGACCTAATAGCTCACAGCTATCAAGATTTGCAGATCCTGTGCTAAAAAATTCAGCAGTATTGTGCCCAAGTGCTACTGCAGAAAGATTGGTCCGCTCAAGCTCTCCTCTTTAAGTACATCTGCTTAGTACCGTAATAAAACCATTTTTGTGATTCATAAGCATGGTAGTGGAACGATCAAATTCAAACACACAATAAACTCATTCTTTTGACTCGGGTTTTGCTGTTACGGACGAGTCTTAAGTGTATTTTCAGACCTTCTCCTGATCCCCTTTTTCTTTTAACAAATATATGTGTGTGTGTGATAAATTTTGGTTAGGATTTGTTTAACGTGGTATATATATAATTATAAATAAGTTAGCTCTAAAAGGGTATACTAGATCTTGCGTTTTGTGGCTGTACAATGTCCAGGTCTAAACTTTCTTGGTGGACAGGTCACCCGTCAAGTTGCTGTTCCTAGGGTTTTATACTTACCAAATATTTGATTTATAATGTTTATACATGTTCATAGATTGTTCTGTACCATCGAATTCTAACAGATATTTTTATATGCAGATTGACTGAATATCCAGTTTATTGTATGCCATAGTACTGCATGTCTTGTATGTGGGCTAAGTGTTGGTAAACTTGCAGGGTGTAAAATCCAACAAGGATGATGCATTTGCACTGAGTTCTGGAGACTTTCCGACCCTTGGTTCTGAAAAGGATAATTCTATGAAGAATACTAAATTAGAAGGTGGGTTGTGTAGATAGAGTTGCTATAAGTTAGTCACATATGCTGCTTCTCATTCTCTGTAGAATTTAAAAACCAACTTTCTTCGCTATTTTTCTGTATTCTGCATTGGTACTGTCGAAATCTCACTTATTTCTGGTGGAAACGATTTAAGAGGAGTCATTTCTTATAATGTAAGTGTTGCATTTTTCGTAATACATGGATAAATTATTCTAATTTGATTCCTCTAGAGCCCTAAAAACACCTGTGTTTGGGTCCTTTTTTCTGATTAGCATTCCAATATCTTTAGCCTAGATCTATTTATCTCCAAATGTCAGAACACTAGAGAACACACGTGAAACACTTTAATGAGCATGATTGTGTTCACTGATTTTTCTTGGTTTCCCTCTGTCTTTGCTTGTGAGCCCTATTTGGAATATTTTGATGTATATATTATGATACATATTATTGAGTCTTGGCTAATATCCATTGACAGAACCTGGCCGTCCAAGGTCAGCTTCTGCTAGGATAGCTCATGTAAAAGTAGATGCAATGTCCCAGACTGGTCTGTGAACTCAATTTGTCTTCTAAATTTTGAAGCCTAATTCATTTCTTTAGTAGTGTGTTTAATGATAAATCGGCTTTTAAAGCAGATACGAAACATGGAGCTGTGGATACATGGAGGGCAGATGGTCCCCGAGGTGTAGATGATGATATTCATCCCAGAATGGAGAAATGGCATGGGGAAAACCCTCCACATTTTAATCCCAATGCCTCTGCCCCTCAGCATTTCAATACATGGCGCGGCCCTCCTCCAATGAATAACCCAGCTGGTGTTTGGTATGGCGGGGGACGTCCTCAGGGCCCACCATATGGGGCCCCCACTGTTCGGCCCGGAGGCTTTCCTATGGAACCATTTCCTTTTTATCGTCCTCAGATTGCACCTCCGCCTTTAGCAGGTTCACAGCCTGGTCCCACCTCTGGTCTA